TGCGGTAAATGGTTGGATTTTAAGAAGAGACTTAAGCAAGAAGAGACCGCTCTGATGACTCCAGTTGTGGTCGTGGTGCTCTTTCTCTCCTGTTTGCTTCTTCTTTCACTGTGGAAACAGAGCTCTGGAAAAGAAGACTTCCACCTGGCTTCACGCCTCTGCCAATTATTGGAAGTGTGCTACAGCTGGATGTGAAGAACATCCAGCAAATCCTTAAGCAATGTGAGTATGTTTTATGTTCCCCCAGCAGCTTGCAAAAGGGTAAGTAAATTAATACCATCTACTTTTAAATAAAATATATTTAGTTGAAGTATATTTTGAAGAAACCATAGTACATTAAAATAAAACTAAAATATATGTATGGTGAAGCAAACACTTCCCATGCAATTTTACTTTTTGTTTCTCATCAACAAAGGAACTACAAGGAACTTAGTGCAAAACTATAATACAGCATGAAAGAGGACATAGAAATGATTCATAAGAGACAAGAGGAAATGAAGAATACAATTTCTGAATTGAAGAACACAGTAGAAGGAATCAAAAGCAGGCTCGATGAAACCGAGGGATTGTGAATCATGGAGCTGGAGGACATGGCGTAGAAAAAGCTCCCAGGAAGAACAAGAAAGTGAGAAAAGACTCAAAAAGAATGAAGAGGCATTGAGGGAAATGTCAGGACAACCCTGGAAATGTACTAATATCCATATAATAAGGACACCAGAAGGAGAAGAGGATGAGGAAGGGAAGAGAGAACCTGTTTGAAAAGTCACACTGGAAACACTTCCCTAATTGGAGGAGAGAAAGGTCCCCCAAAGCCAGGAGCACAGAGGGTCCCATTCAAGAGGAACCCAGTGAGGCCCACTCTGAGACTCATCATCATTAAAATGGCAAATATCAAAGACAAACAGAGAATCCTAAGGCGGCAAGGGAGAAAAAGAGGTAGTAAGAGATAGGGAGTCCCAATGAGGCTAGCAGCTGATCTCTCAACAGAAACACTGCAGAGGCCAGAAGGGATTGGCAAGAAATATTCCAAGTAATGAAAGCAAAGGCCTTTGCAACCAAGATTGCTCTATTACAGCAAGGCTCTCAGTGAAGAAAATGGAAGGTGAAATAAGTGAGCTTCCCACACAAAAGAAGGCTAAACGAATACACCTTCACCAAACCAGCACCGCAAAATAAAAGCAAATATGAAGAAAAAAGAGTCTATGAATACCAGTGCTTTTCACAGTTGCCAATACTTGATGTTACCAATATTTTAAATACGTATTAATCTGATTGTGACAACAATGTGTTATTTTAATTGTTCCTTTATTATTTGTTGAAACTAAATCTGTTTTTGTATATTTCTTGCCTATTTCATTAATTTTTATAAAGAAGCTTTAAGTGACTTTTTTTGGTATTCTTTATCCATTTTGAAGTGAAATGTTTGTAGAATCTTTTCCCCTAAAGAAGTCCCCAACCAACCATTAACCCTTTTTTAGATGTGTTACAAATAACTATTATTACTTGTCCTTTACCTTTTTTGATATGTATATTACTATACAGTCTTAAATGTTTAATATAGTCATTTGTCAATATTTTATTTTTATAGCTTCTGGGTTTGAATATTTTACTTCAGGGTGACAGCGCCAAATATTAGTTTGTGTTTTCTCAACAAAACTCCTTAGATTCTACATATTGATTTTTAACTCACCTGAATATTTGTTGTGTAATGTGTGAAATAGGGCTCTTTATTTCTTTTATTTCCAAGTAATAGTGGTCCATACAACTTATTTGTTGAATAAGCCTTATTTTGCCAATTGATTCAAAATGTCAACTTAATCTTATATTACATTCTTAGATACATATGTTTGTGCTCTAGAATGCTCATTAAGATTTTATTGATCTACTTGATTATTTCTGTGCTGGTATATGTTGGTTTAATTGCTGAGACTTTGTAATGGTTTTATATTTTTTTAATATTTTATAATTAACTTTGACATATAAAACAATAAGTAAAATCAATCTGCATATAAGAAAGAGAAAAGAAAAAAGAAAGAAAGATAGATAGATATGAGACTCCTACCTTTTGTGGCAACATGGACTGAAACTAGAGAATATTATGCTAGGTGAAAGCAGCCGCTGGTGATATCAAATACCATATGGCCTCACTTGTAAGTGGAATCTATTTCAACAAAATAAACTAACGAACACAAGAAACCACAGGCATGGAAACATGGAGCAGACTGAAGGTGACCAGAGGGGATGGGGAAAGAAGACAATGGTGCAAAGAAGGAGGGAAGGGACTAAGACAAGGAACATGTATGCATGACCCAAGGACATGGACACACCAGAGTGGGAATTGACTGTGGGGAGCGGCGGGTGGGGGTGGGATGTTGTGCGGAGGGGGGGTTAAGGGGGGCAAAACCAAGACAACTGTAATAAAATAAGTATGACTTAAAAATTATAAAAATAAAGGTAGTCAGAATTTTAAGAATCCTATTTTCCCCTGTGAGAACGCTTTATTCTCTATGCTACTATTGCTTAGAGACTGATCTGGAAAAATATAATGAAGGCAACACTGGTGATTAAAACTTGAGTAAGGACCACTCATTTTTAGGTTGAATTTACTTTCACCCTGAGGTAACCAATGACCTTGATTCAATGGGTTGAGGAAGACAGTACAGATTTATAGGTTAGGAAAGCATATATGGAAATATTTCAAAGGAATATCATTATCACTGTAATTTCTCTTAGTATTGGGGTACGCTAGTCTAAATCCAAACTAGTAATTAACTAATGAGAAAAGACAGTCCAAGAGATGTGCTTTGATTTTGCAGTGTCAAACAAATCTTTAGAGTCAGGACTATAACTCAGATCTCCCATTGACAGGTTACATTGGCCCCACTTAACCTTTTTAATTTATCTTTTGGATATAGACTTTCATGAAATTTTGAGTTAGCAGTGTCACACAGATATTACCATCACTGACCTTTCAGAAGAGCCAAACTGGGAAAAGCTATGGAAGCAACACAAAAGCTGAGAAGTCCCTTTTCTGTGCATAAAAATAGCTACAGATTTTAAAGTACTTGTGGGCATTAAATATTAATTCAATCATTTCTCACAACAATACAATGATATAAGAACTATTATTATGTTGCTTTTCAGATAAGGAAACCAAGGCACAGAAAGATTGAATAGCTTGCCTTCTCTTACATAGCAAATAGAGCAATAAAGGCGATAAAGCTGGGAATGGAAACTTGGCAGTCCTCCCCCCCCAAAAAAAAGGAACCAAATGAAATGGAGATAAACCAACCTATCAGATGTAGAGTTCAAAACACTGGTTATCAGGATACTCAAAGAACTCATTGAATACAGTAACAACATAAAGGAAGAAGTGAAGGTTACACTGTGAAATAAAGAAAGATCTACAGAGAACCAATAGTGAAAGGAAGAAGCCAGAATTCAAATCAATAGTTTGGAAACATTAGGAAGAAAGAAGCACTCAATCAGGCCACAAGGAGAAACAAGAATTCAAATAAACGAGGATAGTATAAAGACCCTCTGGGACATCTCCAAACGTGCCAACATCTGAATCACAGAGATGCCCGAAGGAGAAAAGAAAGAGCAAGCAATTGAAAGCTTACTTGAAAAACTAACGAAAGAAAACTTCCCTAATTTGGTGAAGGAAGTAGATATACAAGTCCAGGAAGCACAGAGAGTCCCAAATAAAATGGACCCAAGGAGCACCACACCAAGATACATCATGATTAAAATGCCAAAGCTTAAAGATAAATAGAAACTCTTAAAAGCAGTAAGAGAAAAAAGCAGAGAGTTACCCAAAAAGGAGTTCCCATAAGATTATCAGCTGATTTCTCAAAAGAAACTTTGTAGGCAAGAAGGGACTGGCAGGAAGTATTCAAAATGATGAAAAGCAAGGACCTACAGCCTAGATTACTTTTTCCAAGCAGAACTATCAATTAGAATCGAAGGGCAGATAAACTGCTTCCCCAGACTAGGTAGAGCTAAAGGAGTTCATCATCACCAAGCTATTATTACATGACATGTTAAAGGGACGTATTAAAGAAACAGAAGAAAATCAAAACTATGAACATTCAAAAGGCAGGGAAAACTATGAACATTCAAAAGGCAACAAATTAGCAACTATCAACAAAGGCAGCAACACTATCAAAGGCAGCTAAATTCACAACTATCAACAAAATGAATCCAAAAAAAACCAAACTAAGCTAACAACCAGAACAAGAATAGAATCAGAGGTATGGAGATCATTTGGAGAGTTATCTGCTGGGTTGGGGAATGGGGAGAGTCAGTGGAAAGGTGCAGGGAACAAGAAGCATCATTAGGAAGTACAAAGAGACAAGATATTAAGAATAGTATAGGAAATGGAGAAGCCAAAGAACTTATGTGTACCTCCCATGGTCATAAACTAAGGGGGGGTGGGGGATGATTGCTGGAGGGCCAGGGGTACTGGGTAGAGGGGGCAAAGGGGAAAATTTGGGGACAACTCGAATAGCATAATCAAGAAATACATTTAAAAAAAAAGAACCAGTTTTGTTAACTCATCAATTTTGATGCCTTTTTAGTGCTCCTGCTGTTTTTTGTTTCACCACTTCCACAAGCGGCAAAACATTTTCTTTTCGGACTTTTTTCATTCACGGGGGAGGGAGGAGTGGCTTGGGGTGAGATCAGGGAAATAGGGAGAATGAGGCATGGGGGTCATGCTGTTTTTGATCAGAAAGTGCTGAACACAGCACGGCAGTGCCTGCAGGCAGGTGCACGTTGTAAATCACCCTTCATGAAATGGGCAAACACATTGAAAGGGAAGCCATTTAAAAAATTCACTGAAGCTTAATATGGCCTCTCACAACAATGCCAGCTAGTACACTGATCAGATGGGTTCTAGAACACTCAGTGTGGAAGCCTGTACTGCAAGGGCTCACACGTTAGAAGATAATTCCAGTTTTTTAGGGATCCCCCTCATATTACTAAAATATCAGAGGTCAAATGAAGAGGTTCTTACTTGGATCTTCTACATAGTAGCTAGTAGATACCAAAAATTATTTGGAATTCTCTGACATCAGTTTCCTCGTTTGTATTTGCAAATGACCTGCTGATGGTGCAGTTTTTCAGGATTAATTTTAATATGTGTACAATTTACCCAGGCCATTGAGGGCACATAAGTGACAGCTATTAACAATCACTCTCATATTTATGTATTAATTTCAGAAATATGTTAGGCATGTCACAGAATAGAAACATAAAAACAGGATGATAATGTCATTTTGAATGGAGTACAATATTTTTATCAAATAGGACTATTTGTATCTCCTTTCCATTTGCCAGCTCTCAAAAGTCTACGGCCCGGTGTTCACTGTGTACCTTGGCAGGAAGCCCACTGTGGTGCTGCATGGCTTAATATGAGGTGGTGAAGGAAGCCCTGATTGATCGGGGTGAGGAGTTCTCTGGCAGAGGCAGTTTCCCATTGGCTGAAAAATTTCACAAAGGACAAGGTAGGTGCCTGTGTGCCCATATATGTTCAGTACTGTAATGGAGGAGAGCGGAGGGACAACAGGGATTTGAAGATCTCTTCAGCAGAGCTCGGCCCATGCGCGTGGCTGCCAAGTGTCAGTTTCCTCCCTCCCCACCTAGCGCCTCCCTGCCAGTTTCTGTTTCTCCTCCCGGTAGGAGTCATTTTCAGCACTGGAAATGCATGGAAGGAGATGCGGCACTTCACCCTCCTGGCCCTGCGGAATTTAGGGATGGGCAAGAGGAGCACTGAGAAACATGTTCAAGAGGAAGCCCGCTGCCTTGTGGAGGAGTTTAGGAAAACCAATGGTGGGTGATTCTATACACTGTAACTCTGACCCTAACGGACTGTTGTGTTCCCTAGTGACGTCCTTGGACACATTTCAGGGGCGGCCAAATCCTTAAATGGGTGATGTTGTCAGCCCCCATGTGGAAGAGGGAGGGTTGTGTGCTTAAGCTCCTTGCGTGCACAGCCACAATTGTGCAGACAGTGTGGGTAGAAAAGGTCATTTACTCCTATTCTCTCCTGAACTTTGCTTGATTGTTTTCAAATCAGAAATCACAAAGAATAACTTTGAGTCATTTATTGAACAAGTTAGGAAGTATTGTCTTTCCTATGGCAATTTATTCCAGAGCTTTTTGTCAGGTGGTACTTATCAAGTGGACAAAGTGAGATGACTCATCACACCCTTATGGAGAATGTAACAAGTGACGTGTGCTGTCATCAAATTTGCATGTATTCATTTGTCAGTTTCACAGACAATTCTGAGAGTTGCTTTCAGGTTGATGCCTACTACAGTTCTGGCCAATAATGAAGCCATCTAGGGTTTTTCAATGCTTAGGCATGTCTTCATGCAATTCTCATCAATTATGATTTCTCTGTAAAGACAGAACTATTTTAAAACATGAACATTAATTATCTTTTCTCACCCAGTATTTACTGTATTGATTTATGTATTTAGGATATATACTACATTATAATTCTTCACAATGCACAAATTCCAAGTCATAAATCTAGTTTTATTTAACTAGATTTCAAGCACTATCAATAACTACTTACCTGATCTGTATTCTCTAAGTGGAATTTGTCTCTGTTTTCAGTTTGCTGAACTTACCCCAATTGCACTGGATTTTAGTAACAAGTATATGGCAAATATTGGCCTTCCATGGCTAGGTATAATAACCTGTAAAGTGCTTGTCAAAATGACTCTGATTCTTAGCTTGGAATACAAGCTACTTGTTTTTTAAATTCTTTCCTTCAAATTAAGTGAAAGTAAAAACTGAAAATCATATTTCACCTGCAAATGACACACAGACAAAGAAATCCCCAAGACTTTTCCGATCATCCTCTTCCTATCAGGCTGCAGTAATGGTTGTTTTAAAGCTCGCAGCCCTGGAATGTTTCACAAAACCTGGCCTAAAACCTGCTAACTATGCATTTCCTTTAATTCTGTTACTTTCCTATGCTTAAAAAATTTTATAGTAAAAAACCACATACACAAAAAAGAAGCTCAAATAGGATAAAGGACTTCAATGTAAGTTGTAAAACCATAAAAATCCTAGAAGAAAACATAGGCAGTAAAATTTCAGACATTTCTCATAGCATTGTTTTTGCCTATATGACGTCCAGGGCAAGGGAAACAAAGGAAAAAATAAACAGATGGAACTACATCAAACTAAAAACGTTTTGCACAGCTAAGGAAACCATCGACAAAGTGAAAAAGGACCCCACTGTATGGGAGAATGTATATGCTTATGATACACCTGATAAGGGTTTAATTTCCCAAAACTTATAAAGAACTTATGCAACTCCAACCAGGAAGAGAAACACCCAATTTAAAAATGGACAAAGGCCCTGCTTCTCCACAGAGAATATGCGGATGGCTGATAGATATGAAAAAATGCTCAATGCCACTAATCATCAGAGAGATACAAATTATAACCAAAGTGAGAGATCGCATCACACCTGTGAGCATGTCATCATCAATAAGTCAGATACAAATTATAACCACAGTGAGATATCGCCTCACACCTGTTAGCATGTCATCATCAATAACTCAACAAACAAGTGCTCAAGAGGATGTGGAGAAAAGAGATCCCTTGTGCAATGTTGGTGAGAATGCAGACTTGTGCAGCCACTGTGGAAAACAGTACGGATTTCCTCAAAAGATTAAAAATGAAACTGTCTTTTGACCCAGCAATCCCACTTTTGGGAGTATCTCCTAAGAATTCCAAAACACTAATTCAAAAGAATATATGCACCCTTACATTCATTGCAGAATTATTTACAATAACCAGGATCTGGAAACGGCCCAAGAGACCATCAGTAGATAAGTGGATAAAGAAGCCGTGATACACAGGAGAACTCTACAAAACATTTAAGAAAGAGCCAACCCCTATCCTTCTCAGACTATTCCAAAAAATCCAGAAAGAGGGAAAACTCCCAAACTCTTTATATGAAGACAGCATCATCCTAATACCAAATCAGATAAAGACATAACAAAGAAAGAAAACTCCAGGCCAATATCACTGATGAACATAAATGCTAAAATCCTCAACAAAATAAAGGCAAAAGCATCCAGCAGCACATTAAGATCATCCACCTTGATCAAGTGGGATTCATCCCAGGAATGCAAGGATGGTACACTATTCACAAATCAATAAATGTAATACATCACATAAACAAAAGGAAAGAAAAAATCACATGATCATATCAATAGATATGGAAAAAAGCATTTCATAAGGTATAGCCCCATTTATGATAAAAACACTCAGCAAAGTGGGAGTAAAGGAGGCATGCCTCAAAATAATAAAGGCCATATACAAGAAACCTACAGCCAACATCATACTCAATGGGCAAAAACTAAAAGCTTTCCCACTAAGATGAGGAACACGGCAAGGGTGTCCAGTTTCACCACTTCTATTCAACATAGTATTGGAAGTCCTAGCCACAGCAACAAGACAAGAAAAAGAAATGAAAGGCATCCAAATTGGAAAGGAGGAAGTAAAAGTGTCAGTGTGCAGATGATATGATAGTGTACGTAGAAAACCCCATAGACTCCACCAAAAACTGCTTGACGTAATCAGTGAATTTTGCAAAACAGCGGGTTACAAGTCAATATTGACGCTTCGATATTCCCATTGAAGGCATTTTTATACATCAACAACAAAATACCAGAAACAGATATCAGGGAGAAAATCCCATTAACCATAGCAACAAGAGAAATAAAGCACCTAGGAATAAACCTTGCCAAGGAAGTAAAAGACCTGTGCTCAGAAAACTACACAACACTGAAGAAAGAAATTTAGGAGATAGAAACAAATGGAAGCATATACTGTGCCCATGTATTGGAAGAATAAACATCATCAAAATGTCCATACTACCCAAGGCAATTTGTAGATTCAATGCAATCCCTATTAAAATACCAATGACATATTTCACAGATATAGAACAAAGATTTCAAAAATTTATATGGAACCACAAAAAACCCCGAATAGCCACGGCAATCTTGAGAAAGAAGAACAGTTGGAAGAAATCCCAAAAACCCAACATCAAACTATACTACAAAGCTAATGTAATCAAAACAGTCTGGTACTGGCATAAGAACAGACATATATAGCAATGGAACAGAATAGAGAGCCCAGAAAAAAACCCATGCCTGTATGTTCAATTAATATTCAACAAAGGGGGCAGAAGCATAAAATGGAGTAAAAATAGCCTCTTTAACAAATGGTATTGGGAGATCTGGACAGATACATGAATAAAAAAAAAAGAAACTCGACCACCAACACACACCATACACAAAAATAAACTCAAGGTGGATAAAAGACTTAAATATAAGTTGCAAAATTGTAAAAGCCCTGGAGGAGAACACAGGCATGAAAGTCTCAGATATTCCACGCAGCAATATTTTCACTGATATGTCCCTTACAGCAAGAGACATAAAGGAAAGAAAAAACAAATTGGACTTCATCAAAATAAAAGCTTCTGCATAGCTAAAGAAAACATCAGCAAAATGAAAAGGGGAGCCAACCGTATGGGAAAATGTATTTGCCCATGACACCTCAGATAAGGGTTTGATCTCGAAAATATATAAAGAACTCACACGACTCCACTCCAGGAAGATCTTATTAATGTGTTGCTGGATGCTTTTACCTTTATTGAAACTGACAAACAACCCAATTAATAAATGGGCAAAGGACATGAACAGACACTTCTCCAAGGAGGACATACAGAGGGCCCAGAGGCATGTGAAAGGATGTTCAGCATCACTAGCCGTCAGAGAAATGCACATTAAAACCACAGTGAGATACTGCTGTGTGCCAGTCAGAATGGCCATCATAACCCACGCAACAAACAACAAGTGCTGGCAAGGTTGTAGAGAAAAGGGGACCTTAGTACACTGTTGGTAGGAATGCAGACTGGTGCAGCCACTGTGGAAAACCATATGGAATTTCCTCAGAACACTAAAAATGGAACTGCTTTTTCACCCGGAAATTCCACGGCTGGGATTATACCCTAAGAATCCTGAAACACCAATTCAGCAGAACCTATGTGCCCCGATGTTTATAGCAGCACAATTTACAATAGGCAAGTGCTGGAAGCAACCTATGTGCCAATCAGAAGTGAGTGGATCAAAACACTGTGATACCTTTACACAATGGAATACTATGCAGCAGAAAGAAAGAAGGAGCTGCTACCCTTTTGCGACAGCATGGATGGAACTGGAGAGCATTATCCTCAGTGAAATAACCAGGCAGTAAAAGACAAGTACCATACGATCTCACCTGTAAGTGGAACTTAATCAACACAACAAATAAGCAATCAAAATATAACCGGAGACGTTGACATAAAGAACAGACTGACAGGGACCGTAGGAGGTGGGGAGGGGATAACAGAGGGAAAAAGGGGAAGGGTAATCAAGAAACATGTATAAAGGACACACAGACAGAGCCGAACGGGGGCGGGGGGGGGTAGGATAGACAGTGGGAGATAGGGACGGGAGGGGCCTCGGGAGTGACGGCGGGGGGGGGGGGGATGGAGAAAGCTGTACTTGAACATCAATTTAAAAAAAAGCCGTGATATATTTATACAATGGAATGCTATACAGCCATAAAAAAGAATGAAATTTTACCTTTTGCAACACCATGGATGGGCCAGGAGATTACACTAAATTAAATAAGCCAGAGAAAGGCAAATGCCATATGATCTCACTTATATGGGGAATATAATGAACAACATAAACTGATGAACAAAATAGAAACAGAGGCATAGCTACACAGAACAGACTTGACAGCTGTCTGAGGAG